GATATAGATGATGGAAGGACGTCAGCAAATGAACTCAACGACGATTTTCCAACTTAGGGCGTCAACCTGAGAAGGGTTGTAGGCGTACTGCTGTAAGTAATACAATTCTTCGAGGGTAGTACTTCGAAGCGCAGTCCAGTATACTTGGTGTGTTGTTTTGTACATATATTCATTTTTTATATATTGATTTGGTGTCACCTTTCATCTATTCGTTGGTTAATATTGTTTGTGTTCGGACATTTTCCACCTGAGAGGGGTTGCAGGCGTACTGCTGCAAGTCCTGCGATTCTTCAAAGGAATTACATCAAGACATGTTCTGCGAGGTTATGTGTACTGTTTGTATATATGCATGGTTTGTCGTATCAATTGGTGTTTTTGGATACATTGTGTTTATTTGATGTTTTCGTACTTTGTTGTATTGTATAATTTTGTTAAAATTTCGTCGCCCTTACTTCTGAAGTTGTTTCGAGTCTTCTACATCTGTGAATGAATTGATTGATGTTAAAGGCAGCAGATGGGTTGTATATGCCGGGGAGGCTGCTGCTGAGAATGACATGCACATATAGACAAGGATTAGCTGTGGAATCAGTGATTGAGAATGAATGTTTCGATTCAGGCTGGGGTCTCACACGCCGGGGAGCGAGAGTGTAGGCGACTGAGGCTTGCATGCGTCACCGTAACTAGAACTGAGGTAGAATGAGTGGCAAGTGATAGCAGTGGTAATTGGTGCTGAATAGATAAGAGGATATGTGAAGAGTATCATGAGGTGCTGCTATGATCACGTTGTTTTCTGCAAGAGTCATTCTAGCAAGTGGCGATTGTGTTGCAAGATTTCAAGACGATGCCTTTAACCGGAAGGCGTAGGTCGTCGTCGACGAGTGAGATTGTACCATGGGTATGGCTTTGTTGTTTGTTTTCCATTTCAGCTTTGTCCTTGGGGCCCAGGTTCTGGCACTGGTATCCAAGTCAACGTGTATCGGTGGTGATGGAAAAAAGGGATGTATCCCTTTTTGCCGGCGAGTGTCAAAGCAGTTGAAGAACGAACGATCAATTCATGGTTGTTTGCTCTAACCCAATTCCATATTTTGGCGGGAGTCATCGATACTGCAATCATCGTTCTATCGCTCACTGTTTGTTAGAAGACAGAGAAAAACTATCAGAAGTATTATTGTGATTAATTGTTATAACATTTATCCTTAGACTTTGTGTACAATAACCTTGTGGTTGGTTCTGTATTGGCGCAAGAATATAGGATTCTTGAATCACCAATTTGTGTTCTGGTTTTTCGCATTGGTTATTGACAATAGTTTCTGAAAGTCTTCTAAGAACAGTGTAAAGTCCAGGGTAGTTAGACCTGGACATTGACACCCTCATTTTATTTCCTTTATGAATGCATGTATTAATGATACACTGCATTTACCTATTTCATTACACTTTAATGATTCACCTTAGTACCGTTACTTTTCTAAAACAGCTTACTATCCCTTGTAAACGTTGTACTTACCTCAATATTGGTTGGTTATCGTATGCCTACAACCACGGGTTGAAAACGAAACGACGTCGATTTTCCCGCGCAACCTGGAGGACTACTGTAGAATTCAATAATCATACGGCCTGGTTCAGACAAAGAGTGTACTTGTATATATATATTTATATCAAATATTTAGCTGTTCAAACATTATTAACTTGTAGACAATCTACTATTTGACATTATATCATACTTGATCGTGCCTGTAAAAATGGCATTCATTTTCATGTAAATTTATGTTTATATGAAAATATACATTATTATCATTACTCTACGACGTTGTAAAGTTGCGCGGATCGATCTGTCTGAGGCTAGTACTGTGGATAGCAAACCTTCGTTTTCTTGGCTTACCAATGGTGACTGACACAGAACTTGGTCATCGAAGACTTCGTGGTAGTCCGGGCAAAACTTAGCACCTCACACGACACTACAACTGTTCCGCTCAGCATTTTTTCAGAGTTCCGAACGCGTTTTCATTGACTTTTCAAAGCCCCTCGGCAACACGCGTGAGATAACTGCGTTGATACTATAGTCAGATGTATCGGCTGCGAAGACAATTTCCAGCTCAGGTTATCCATCCTGAAAAATTCCCGTTCCAATATTAATAGAAAGAAGACAAGTAGTTCAGCGAAGAGTCTCTTTTCGACGGCGAATTCATTTTCATAGCTGTACAATAGCAAATATATATATGGTTGTTTTGTATGTGTGTGTACATTAAATTTGTCAAACGAAAATACAATTAGTAAGTTCAGATGAATTGGGTGTTGATATAAGAGGGTAGTAAAAAAAGTGATGAGTTGTCACAGACGTAGTTCTGTTGCCTTGTCCTTGCTTCTTGTCGTTACAACCTTACTCCATAATTCACTTTCTAATTATTAAGTTTCATTATCTATTTGCGTGGCTGTCCGTTTTTACTTTAGAAGTCCATATAGTTCTCACTAGTTAAATCACTGTCACAACAGCTGAATGCAATATGATGTGCTCAAATCTGGGAGAATCTACGAAATAACAGTGTAAGCCATGCAAAACCGTCACTGATGCTGCAATCTGTTTATCATGATCCTGTTGTAGCGGTAAATAATTTCCCAAAATTATTGACCACAGCAATCATCACTCAACATTGGATGCTGACCATCACTGTTTAAGTCGACTTGTTTAGCTGAAGGCTTACGGTCAAGCATCCCCGCCATTTGGTACTCCGTCGTGTCACGTGCGTGCACGATTACTAGCTAGCTAAGCATTCATCTCTACCCGTGATTTTGTCCCGAAATATTCTACGTACTTTGGATGACAATATCTGGTCTTTTGCTTTATCTTTGGTACTCGAAGAACGAACACTATAGAAGTTGTTGGTATAAGATCTTGCGTTAGTATACTCCGTACAATTCGCGAACGTCGATACCTTCAGCCTCCAAACTGTAGATACATTGGGCGTGTCAATAGGTGAATCAGAATAGGAAATGGGTGCAATCACACAACAGTGGGTTATTAAGTACTGGCAGCTACTTTTCTTCCTGGCTTCTCTGTTTATCCTAATGCATCAGATGTTTTTTATCCGTATTCAGTTTCATTTCTTCACACTGTGCAACTCTGCACAAATCCAAACACCTCTTTATTAATTGCGAAGTCACGAAGTCCTTGCTTTTTCTTTATCCTATTCCATGTGCGGTGATCACTGATCAAGAAAAAGTTGAAGCATAAATATTTATTCGATTTTTATAGGTCAACCCATGCAGTATAGGCCCACTATCAGTGGGTCATTGGTTAGAAATTCTCGTGTCAGCAGAATATAGTTTACTCATGACTGAAACACACATCCCAGGGAGAACAATATTTACAGACGGCTGACACTACTTACATGACAGCATAACAGTGAGCACGGTAGAACTTGTAGCATCCCTAAATTAACCCCAACTGTACGTTTATAAAATGATTTCATGTACTTTTATAATGCCAACACCAACAAAAGAAAATATAAATCATCAGTAGTTCTTCTATACAAAAAAGGAACCTCGGAAACCTGACGGGGAATTCCTAAAGATGCAGGAATAAAAGTATCTGGCATTGAAAACCACAAACTCAATTAGAAAGAGGCTTTGTCGGTTTGAGAACCTTGTGGATCCAATCAGACAACACAATTTAGATCATCTTATACCTTGTGTCACACCCATCATGGTTAAAAGCATGTGATCACTGTGGCAGAATGTAGTCAGCCAGACCACCTAAGCATAAAAACTAGAAAAAGCTAGACTATTTGAACCTAACAAGATAAGAAATCTAGAGGATAGTTCAGCTACACAGCACAACATACAGTTGCATACCATTATAAAAGAGGATGGGATAGAATAAGATGACAGTTTAAAGGTCTTATGTAGCAGGGCGGCGAGAGAGATGAATAATGGAAGATTAAATTGTTGAATCAACTACAACACCTGTTAGCCCGAACATCTGCACAATTCTACTCCCCCTACGTCAAATAAGAAAAAATTAATGAAACCACAAAATCAAGCTTATGATCGATATGATTATCAGCAGTGAATAAAATGTGATCAAAACTATATCATCCAGTAAATAATGCCAAATCATTGTGCGATAAGAGTGACATATTAGTTATTATGGATATAAGAAAAATAGTTTCTAAATCGCAAGCGTGGTTCAGAAGGCGCGGTTCTCAAAAAATTGGAATGTTGTTAGGCGGGATTTTTCTCCCTTAGACGGTCCAATTTTCAAAAAATGATCTCCTTGAATAGAGTTGGGGCAAACAATTTCAGGAATGGTCTATATCAACTTCTGTGTGAAGGGAGAAGGTAGCGCAGCGAAACACATAAGCAATACACTCCTATCCACCAATAACACTTGCCTCATGCAGTCTGGCCATAGTCCCACTGAAACTGTAGCCATAGTGACAGCTTCTAACCAGGAAAGCCCACTAGATCACCGAGATATGCGAGTCCAATCGTCAATTCAAAGTAGTAACTACCGGTCGGTTATGTGACGGGAGAAATTTACGAATGCCTTTCAGACACACGGGATTCAACAGGAAAATACGTACTATGTATATTACAGAAATATTTCTTAACTAGAACTGACGTCACAATTAGATAGCATAACAGTCAGTCACCAGTAAGCTGATAAGGAATTCATCCACTTGGAAGTATTAAAAATTGACGACTACTATGGAGCATTGTTATTCCTTACGCTATGTTAGCGGAATGCAAATTGAATACCAGTAACCCTTTTTTCTACTTGTATGTAGCGATAAGATCTGGGAAGTTAGTGACACGTTTATACTGACGCTGAAAACAAAATGCACTAGCGCGACAGGTTTTACTGAGATCAAAAGAATATCTTGGGGAGTTCCGAAACCATGCGGAATGAGCAGCATAAAATCACAGGGTTCGTACGAGTAAATCACAAAGCAACTTGATATTTGTTCATTTTAAGTCGGTATTCACGCTTAAGGAAGAAGATATGTACTTTCAAGTTGAATCCATGCACCTGAAATAGCGGATTCAATTTTGTTACGTTTCTTCTTTTAATGGATCGATGCACACTGAATTGTAAACGCGGGACAGACGATAGTGTTTTCTGATGGTGGGTTTTTCATATTTTTTTAGTAACTCTTTTATGCACTGTTGGGTCTCGTAACAACTTAGTATATTTCGAAACGCGAAGAAATCAAAATTTGTTTACCTATTATTATTGAAAGAAGGAATTCACGGTGCGACTTATTCATGAATCATGCCACATGACCACTAGGGTATTAATGGTTAAGCGGTGTGATTTCAGTTATTTGTTTCACACTGTTGTTAACGCCAGTTTATAGTTAGGGTTTCCACTGTGAGCGTCTTGTCCGGAATTGTTTGGCACTATGTGTCTAAGTAACAATGATGATGTTATATTTCCACATGGGACGTTTTCCTTGGATTTAGATGTCCTGTTAGTTTCCCTTTACGAGAATATTAATGATGTGCTTAGAAGTACACTTCAGTTCATACAGTCATGTCTAATGTGGAGCTCTGGTTGTGCTTTGTGGGATAAGAGAATTGCTGCAGAAATAATTCTGGCTCCTTCTGGGCGTTATTTTTATTTTATTATAGCTTGATTCCACGCTATTTTTAATACAAGTGTAGAATTTTCAAGATATAATACCAGTAGCTCGAATTCAGCAGGCCAAGACCATCAATATCAGGTGTGCGTCGTCTGGGGATCAAATCGCGGACCATGTACATGGTCGGCTGGCGTCCTCACCGCTGTGCCACCGACACAGACTTTCAGACGAAGGTATTCTGACCGCACTTACTGTGATTCCTTATGGTACATATAAATACTGTAGCTCTTTAACAGGCGGAAAATAAGTTGGCAATAAATTACAAATAACAAATGGGATTAAAATTCAACGACTAATTAAATAAGAGGAAAAGATCATAAAGGTCTTGTTGGTTTTCTAAAGAAAGCTGGTTTATCACTTGGATTCTGTACTTCATGTGAGGTCTAATATAATTTGGGTGTATAATCCGGAAGACAAAACTAATTGCATGTAGTTGTGTGGTCTATGCTTGATATGCATAACTCTTTCAAACTGTCGCGCTAGTGGATTTTGTTTTCAGCGTCAATATAAACGTGTCACTAACTTCCCGAATCTCATTGCTGCATGTAAGTAGAAAAAGGGGTGACTTGTATCCAATATGCATTCCGCCAACATAGAGTAGGGAGTAACAATTCTCCAGAATTGTGCAATAGTAGTCGGCAATTTTTAATGCTTCCAGGTGGATGAATTCCTCAGCTTACTGGTGACTGCCTGTAATGCTGTCTAGTTGTTATGTCAGTTCTAGCTGAGAAATGTCTGTGATATACATAATACGTATATTCCCGTTGAATCCCGTGTGTGTGAAAGGCATTGGTAAATTTCTCCTATCACATTACCGACCGGTAGTTACCACTTCGAAGTGACGATTGGGCTCGCATATCTCAGTGATCTAGTGGGCTGCCCTGGTTAGAAGGCGTCACTCAGGTCTCACTACGGTGACAGTTTCAGTGGGACTATGGCCAGACTGTATATTGCCTGAGGCAAGTGTAATTGGTGGATAGGAGTGTATTGCTTATGTGTTTCGCTGCGCTACCTTCTCCCTTCACACAGAAGTTGATATAGACTACTGCTGAAACTGTTTGCCCTAACTCTATTCAAAGAGTTCATTCTTTGGAAATTTGATTTTCCGTATGTGGATATGCAGTCAATCGATTAGATCCTGTCCCAGCTACCTTAGCGTGGGCAACTGAGTTGTATCATAAACCTTTTTATGTGTCGTTCATTCAGGTTCTGATTCTAATATGCAACCCTTCACCTACTCCTATTGTAAGGTGCACGAGCGAGATAGCTGAATATGTTGACCACTTGTTTGGAAGTTGTTTCAGGTCTACTGGTCTGGTTGTTGGAGGAATCTCAATGTGAATCCAGTAGGCTCGTAGGAATATACCATCTCCCTCATTTGTGTCACGGTAAAGCTCATGGGTACTAAAAATTTTCGCCTTTCAGTTTTGCAGAGCTTGGGTGCATAAGGTATGATAAGTGAAGAGACCAACGAATTTTGAGCCACAGTTGTCGTATTTCATTTGTTCACCACCTTATGTGCTTGATGACAATGCTAGAAATAAAGTTTTAGATAAGGTGAGGGGGGAATTCAGTCGATGCGACCTTAGAGTTCCATCAGGAGAAATGACTAGCACATGCGCTACGCATGCTGAGCCACTATGTATCTCGATTTTAGTTTTATTTTATTTAAAATCCTATACATTCTTGCTGGGACATAGGGGGCTTCAAGCTTAATCTTTGAAGTTTCAGTAGTAGTGGTGTTTATTTTCACGGGTTGAGGTTGCTAGTTTCACACCCAACCTTCTGTCTTTACCGGACTTATAGTCAGCTAAACGAGGTTTAGGAATACGTCTGCCGGGAATCGAACCCAAGACCACATGAGTGGTTGGCGAGCATTCTATCTCTGCGCTGCTGACGCAGTGAAATATGATTAGCTTGACAATTACACACATCAGTATGAAGCAACTTTGTATAGCAAAATTACTGCGTTGATTTTATATCAGTTGAGCTATCACTTGGGGTGGCCATTAGAACATGTCGCAACTTTGGGGTTCGATTCCCGGCCGACTTATTCCTAAAACCTCTTTTAGCTGACTATATATCTGGTAAAGAGAGAAGGTTGGGTGCGAAACTAGAAACTTCGGCCCGTAAAAAATAAAACCAGTGCTACTGAAACTTAAGCTTGAAGCCCCCTTTGTTCCAGTAAGAATGCACAGGATTTAAATAAATAAGAAGGCGAAAAGTTTTAGTACCCATGAGCTTTACTGTGACATAAATGAGGAAGTTGGTATATTCCTACGAACCTACTGAATTCACATTTCATATTCCTCCAACAACCAGACCAGTAGACCTGAATCAACTTCCAAACAAGTCAACATATTCAACTATCTCGCTCGTACAGTTTTAGAATAGGAGTAGGTGAAGGGTTGCATATTAGAACCAGAACTTGAATGAAGGACACATCGAAGGTTTATGATAATACAGTTGCCCATGCTTGGGTAACCGGGACACGATCTAATCGATTGACAGGTGGTTTTTCCATGATTCAACCTAATAATTTATAAAAATAAACTGTCGGTTTAATCGATTGAAACCATGTTATTGGTTCAGTCACTGAATAAGTTCTTGGTTACATTTCTGTCAACCATAAACTTAGCTTAGTGAAGCAGCTACATTTTTTGCAGTCAAATAGACTTTAGCGTATTCATACTCTGAAAATTGTTGTTTTTAATTATTTGTCCAACGACAGACTTAGTATAGCATAAAGTGAGCGTAATAGTTAGTTACCTTTTTACAGGGGGTATTTATTACATTGTATTATTTCCTATAGCAGAGAAAACAAGTAAGCAACAATATGATCGCCAGTCATATCTTATATAATGTATCGGACCAGCGAACCGCAATATCTCTCCGACATTTACTCAGAGATTTGTTATGAAGTAACAGATACTAACTAACTGTATGCTATCATCTGTCACCAGGTGGTGTAACACCCTAGGCTTTTTTAAAATAAATTCTGACAGTTCACCCGAAAGAGTAGCTGCAAACACAAACAGACAACTGTCAATCTTTCAACAGTACTTGTTTTTACGCCTCAAAGCATATACTCATGAATCACCAAACTGTTGAAGGGCAGTTTGTCAGCGTGTATTTTATTGTGTATTAGTTAGTTTAATGAAAACTCATTTATCCAGGAGAACTTCACATGGAATTATTTTATAAGCAACTTGAAAATCCCCATTTCAGAAAAGGCGTTCTTCAGTAAAGAGTTACTCTTCTTTTCCACAATATAATTTTCTTTGTTTTCGACATAGAACCTTGCACTGGTGTGCAGCAGTTCAAGTCGCCACACTCCCTCCATGTAGCACACAAAGCAAGAGAAGAAATGCATAATAGAGACAGTAAACAGAGGTGTGAGACAAAGGAATAGTAATAACGAAGAACAATATAGTTTCATTTGAAATCATAAGTCACAAGGAGTGGATGCATCTGCGCCATCACTGAGAACGATTTTGAGCCATATCACCAATTGTCTCCAGCCATTGGTTTTTACCGTCCCGAGGACCCCAACCAGGAAGTCTATACCTTCTTACGTGGCTTAAACTAACTGTTGTGGATTTCATTGACTCATGCTGCCATGTTTTGGTTTGACCACCGCTAGCTCTTTTCCAGTCTGACCCTTTATCAGCTAACATTGCCCATTGTCGAGGAAGGCGATGACTAGGCATACGTAACACATGTCCTAACCATCTCAATAGATGTAATTTCACAGCCTCGTCGATTGTTTTCCCCTTCCTTACCTAGCACTCGACGAGCCTAACCAGCTCAATATTGCTCACCTTATTATACCACTTCACACGGGAAAGCTGTGCAATTGCATATATTTATCGTAAATTTTCTTAGCAACGAAAGGAATATTTCCGAAACTGTGTCATTAAAACTGTAAACTTTAGATAACAATTTACGTGATGTAGAAAGCCTTAATCGGGTAGAAACTAAATAAAGTAAATTAAGTTATGTGATATAGTTGACGGGATTGAGTAGTATTCGACTAAAATTGGATGATAGTCATATTGACAAGAGTGGTAATAAGGGATAGAAATTTAATAGAGTCGGAATTAGGGAAGAAAATAATACAATTAAGAAACAAAAACAGCAATTACGTATTTGGTGTTAAGATAGATCAGGTCCACTGTAGATTTAATGACTGAACTAACTTCTTGTGTATGCAGAGTTCGGGATTTAACATATGCACTGTCACCACTGCATCTGCGTTTTGAAGACTGACTGACTCACTGACTGGTTTCAACATAGAACTTTGCACCATAATGCAGCAGTTCGAGTCGCCACACTTCACTCAGCGCACAAGGCAAGAGAAGAAAGTAAAAAGAAACGCAAAATAGAGACAGTAAACATAGATATGTGGCAAAAAGAATAGTAATATCGAAGAACATTATTGTATAGTCACAAGAAGTGGACGCATCTGCATCAGCCATTGAGAACAATTTTGAGCCATATCACCAATTGTCTGCAGTCATTAGTGTTTACTGTCCCGAGGACCCCAACCAGGAAGTCTACATCTTCCTACGCGTTTTGAAGAAGTTAGATTCGTACTCTTTTAACAAAATTCCCAGATATTCTATAGACAACTTTGAAGTTCCTTTGTGGGTTAGCTTTTCATTAGGTGTGTTCAGGATAGATCTGTGGTGGAGGGGGCCATCTTTTTTCTCCTTTATAAAACCACGAGGGTGTATTCTATAATACGTGTTTGGTTAGCAAACTCTGGGTACAGGGAGATACCTAGCTTCACTTGAGCAGGTGAATTAGTAGATGTACATTGAGGAGGCTGGCCAACAGTGGTAGCTTATCCTTCACGTTCATGCGAATCATTGGTTTCGTAGAGAGGGTTAGTCGAAGTTCAGCCGCAAAGAAGGTTTTCTTCAGTGAGCGGGACAGACGGTTTCTCAGTATTTCTGTCGATGAGTCTCCAGTGAACTGTAGATTTAAGTAGAGACGCTTTTTGGGAGCAGAATGTGTGGCAGCTTTAAAGGTTTAGATCTCATGGATTTTGTGAGGGTTCTTTTCAGTGTTCAGATTCTCTTCCATAGTGTCAGGGCTGCAAATGCTGCGGGTTCTATGTCTTAGTGAACAGATCAGGTTTCTACGAGTTGATGATGGATTGATATCAGTTAGAGAACCATTGAAAACCAGGGAGTACTGGACAGCTGCTGTTTCATCCTAGTTTGGGAATCATCGGCAGTACGCACCGACTGGGATTCGAACCCAGGACCTTCCGGTTACAAGGCAAGCTGGTATACCATTCAGTCACTGGGACCCGATTCAATGCTCAGGTTTCGTTTTGTAAATAGAGGTACCCAACTCTGAAAGTTAGTGAGTTGTTCGTTCAATGTTGGTTTTCTGTAGATGGATCTTTTTACTATTCCACCTTGTTGACATCTCGTTAATAGAAAGTTCAGGAAAAATATTTTTCTATCGGATTACTTCTCTAATGTGAACTGAACCGCAGGATGGCAACTGTTGAAAAAGTCCAGAACGTCCTGCAAATTCTCCTCATTATCTCTAGTAAAACCAAAAGCTATTAATTATTTTATACACTAAAAGAGTCACTGGCGTGTTTAACCTGCCACTGTCAACAAGGTAATACAAATGAACAAAAGGTGAGGAAGTCTCCGCAAACAACTGATCACTAGACAGCTGTTTCGTCCAGCTGTCCAGTACTCCCAGGTTTTCCAATGGTTCTCTAACCAGTGTCAGCTCATGATGAAATCCTGTAACCAATCAACCAAATCCCTACAAAGTACTTTGATTGGATATCGTAAATCACAGAGTGAGTGCATCTGCGTCAGCCATATCACCGAATGCCTCCACCTACAGGTTCCTACTATCCCGAGGACCCCAACCAGTCAGGAAGTCTACACCTTCCTCCGTACATGGCTTAAACTAACTGTTGTAGATTTCGTTGATTGATGTCATATTTTGGTTTGACCACCACCAGCTCTTTTCCAACCTGATCAATCCTATGTTGCCTAACATTTACCGTTGATGAAGGCGATGGCTAGGAATGTGTAAACCACTTCCTAAACATTTCAATCCATGTAGCTTCACAACCTCGTCGATTGATTTCCCCTTCCTCTTATCTAACACTCGACCAAGACCTAACCTCAACATTACTCACCCTATTACACCACTACCACCTAATACTGGAGACTGAAGGCGGATACGAATGATCAAAGACAGCTAGCCAGGCTTTCCCATTTTCAATAGCCACGTCTCATAGTCATAGAGGTTGACAGCCTGGTTATCACGTCTGTGCCAGAGATGGCGTAAGTTGGCAAATACCAAACGAACCTTTTGTATCTGTGTTGAAATTTCGTCAGTGATCAACCCCTTTGGGATTTATGTAACTACCCAAACACGTGAAGGAGTCAGAAGTCTCTACCATTTCACTCCCTAGTAGGAGTCGATGTAGTCCAGTCCAGTTCTGTAGTATCATCACTGCTACATTTGACCAAGACTCTTTTACCACCCAATAATAATTCTTCCTATAGAATTAAGTAATTAGCTTTCTTAGAACAAGACGTATAAGCGAACAATATTGTTTTCAATTAGATCTTCTTCAGGCTTTACTCTAATTTACATAGATTTATATATAAAAATTTTTAACCAATGACGGTGATTTTGTGGATCAAATAATAATAGTGTGGTAAATGTTTTGAACGTCATTAATAACGATGATTATAATGATAACAAAATATTGATAATAAGGTTTATGCAGGTGGCGATAAGAATAACAAAGGTAGTAATATATGTATATGTAGACAATTCAATAAATAAATTTGGTCAAATCTTAAAAGTTACATAATACTAAGGGTGAAGGGGACAGATAATCAGACTTTAAATAAATAACATAAAAATATGAAGGAGATGGGAAATAAGAAAGGGTGGGAGGGTTTTAAATAGAATTCACCTAGGCCAAGGGAGAGACAAAGGCTAGGATTGTTCTCTCGAATTAATACCCATAGCTTCGGTTATGTGTTTAGCAAGAGGGTTTGAATTCCGTTGGAAAAGCTCGATGGAATGTGAAAGATAACTTTGAAAGCACTATTTTTGTCCACTTGGTGACCGCTATCAATCAAATGAGCTAAAATAGAACTTCGTATGGATTTTATTTGACCTTTTCCGAACCATGAAGGAAGATGCTCATTAATGCGTTTGTTAAGCTGTCTAATTGTTCGCCCTTTGTAGCTTTCTCCACAGGAGCAACTAAATTTATAGATACACATCGAAGTGGTACAGCTAGGTAGCTTATCTTTCACTAGAGCAATCAAAATTGGTCGGCTGGAAAATGACAAACAAAGAGTGGCGGCAGTATAAGTCCTTTTTATCGCTCTCGATAATCTCAGATGTAAGACTTCGCTAGCCAGATTTGAAAGATTTGAAATTAGCTTTCTATTCATAATATATTTACACAACATATTGATTCATCGTAGACACTAAGAAAAAGTACTTATGTGAAAAATTTTTCCCTTACCTTATAGAGTAACATAAATCAAGATTCGTTGGATAATTACAACCCGTTTGACGATCCTGCTCCAAGTGAGTGTAATTCAGTTATACTGATTGTAAATTTTGTTCTTCCATTTCATTATTGTACTCACATTCTCCGATACTATTTGATGCGTACATTTTTTAATACTTATGTTTTATTATTATTATTATTATCCTTAATTACCCCTTGAAAGTCGTCTGTTTTTCTATTCCTTTATGTTTCTAGTGGAAAATAAGACTTCAAGTGGATTAAGCATGAAAGTTTCCGTAGCAGTGGCGTTATTATTGATATAAGAGTAGAAGTTGGCCACTATGATAGAGTATAATTCCATTATAGAGAAAACTTAATTTTGATAAAGTCTCACAGCGTGTTATACAGTAATATTTACTGATTACCACGTTTCAAGTACAATTTATTGCCACTCATAATCATATTAAGACAGTACTCACACAACTTTCTGACTTCGTTTATATGATTCCATTATTTTTCATCGCTTCACTGGATTGGTAGTAGTATTTTCCATATTTCCGGTATGAGTGATGTGTCATTCCTATTGCACGTGTTGGGTGTGTTGATTCGATGAACAAATATTCAATAATCAACTTCTCTCTCCACTTACCTATATTGCTTTTTAGAATTTTAACTCTATCCCACCACCCTATTGTGTGGTTGTGTGTTAATGCATGCAGTGCACTTGCTGAGCTATTTTCTAAATTACTTATCTTCGTGGGATCAATCATTCTAACCTTAGCTAAATTCTTATGCTCTGAGAATTTGACTACCCCCGCCCGATCTCGTAGTTTGACCTATGTATTTGACCTCAGTCACAGTCATTCCAAGATATTCCGCATGTTATATTATTTTGTCTAATTGGGTCAACCTGCAGAACTTGTCCTTGAGTGAGTTTTTAGGTTTAAATGCCACCCTAATTCCTGCTTTACTAAGAATCCTACGCAGGGTCTCAGATGTCCCCTCCTTATTTGGCATAACTGCAGATGCCTTACATTCTCTCTTATTTATGTTATTATTATTAGTTTCGCTACTATTTTCACAATTCTTTTGACCTTTTTTAATATTCGCGATGAATTTTATAGGATAGTTATTGAGCACTAACGCTTCTTTTTCTATCTGTTTCAATTCATCATTTAGGTTTTTTCTTGTACTACTTATTGTTGCTATTGCTCGGTTTGTTAGGTTACTTATAACTAAGCCTCCCTTCACAGATAACGGATCAGATGAATTAAAGTCTAAATATCTATTAGCAAAATGCGTTGGCTTTTTATAAACACTAGTATGCAGTCTACCTTCTTCCATTCGTTTTATTTTACAATATAATATCACAGCTAATTCTCTGTGTTCATTTTCTGATTCAAATGTGAATTTTATTCCCATTTACTAATGAGTTTATGTGTGTGTGTCAAGAAACTAGAGGTATGTTCTGTTTTTAAAGAGATGGTGGGGTTGCAGGCCTCACGCTTAACCTTCTTGCCTCTTTATCGGCCTTTCTCCCGGTTTAGTGAGGTCTCGGATTGTGTTCATAGCCGCGGATCGGACTCCGAAACCACGTGAGGCGCATGTGGAACCACCGCTGCTGTTGAGATATTGTTTTATGTGACAGTCTACATACACTGCTCGTCGTATTTTGTTTTTTACTGAATCGCCTTTGCAAACCTTGTGATTATGATGACGGTTTGTGTTAGTTACTTATTTGATGTAGTCAGTTATATACCTAGTCTTCAATTCTTTTGAGAATTTGATGGATTGTGTACTCAGGATAGTGTCAGAGTTACTCTACATTTTCTCTGTATGCACATTAGCTGTTTGGGTGACATGTGTATAGTTTAATGTACGAGCTAAATATCAGGGAAGGATGCTTTGATGTAGGGAGATGCAAATCTGAAAGTAAACGTGAATTACAGGAGATTAGTGGTTAGAAAATCGTATGTATCAAGAATATGTGGCTTTTACACTAGCCTTCACAGTTCAAGGGGATTGAAGCATCTAAGTATTAGATTTCCACTTCTAAGAAAGAAGGTTGAACTAATATGGTACGCATATATTATCTATAAAACTGGATCATAGGAATTATTAAAAAGACGGTTACAGCGAAGAAAATTTTCTTTTCAATGAAGTCATCAACTAGATAGCTGTACATTCGTGTATTTATAATAAATGGGTGGGAAAGTTCCAGAATAATTTCCAGTCAAGGGTCGAATTAATAAAATTACAATTAGGAATTAAAATACCATAATAAACAGGGGGATGGACGGATAAAACTCGAACAAAGTAGCATCATAATTACTGAGAAGATTGACATAGATTGTGCAATTAGGGGTTAGATATGTAGAAATAAGGATAATAGACTGGATGTTTGCATTAGAAAATCTAGTGGGATCATAGCTAATGTGACGAATAATTGTTTATGCAATTAGGGATTAAATATGTAGAAATAATAAAATAACAGTATAGACAGGAAGTTCGGATATGAAAATATGGTAGTGTAAATAGGGATTAAGAAAAACTTAAAAATAACATGAATAAACAGTAAATTTGGGTAAAAAAGGCGATGAGATTGTCATTACTAAAAAATTTTACCTGTTTATGATGACCATGGTAGGGAGAGGGGTTGGACGTAATTCTTTTGGATACATAGCGTAGGTTTGAGCTTTTGGATAGCTAGTGCCTCGGCTATGCCCAGATGTCTTAATTTCACTCCCTTTGATAGGTTTGATCGAATCTTTTATATGACTTTGATGAATTTTTGGAATGGCACTGAATGTCCTGAATTGACCAGATGTTCTGTCACTGAACTATATACACGGTTTCGTTCTCCTTTTACTAGCCAGACTGGATAGTGTTCAGTGAGCGCTTACCACTATCGACGAAAGAAATCACGGAATATACACATTTGATCATAGGGAATTCATGTTATTTTAAGTTTTCTTAATCCCTGTCTACACTACCATATTTTCATATCCACACTTCCTGTTTATTTTGTCATTTTACTGTTTTTACATATTTAATCCCTGATTGCATAAACAATTATTCATCACACTAGTTTTTTATCCAAACATCCTGTATATTTTGTTATTTTTGCATTTCCAACCCCCAATTGCACAATGTCAATCTTCTTAGTTATTATGCCACTTTGTTTGAGTTTTACCCATCCTCCTGTTTATTATGGCATTCTAATTCTTAATTGTGATTCTATTAATTTGACCCTTAACCAGAAATTATTCTGGGACTTTCCTATCCATATGATATAAATACACGAATGTACAGCTGTCTAGTTGATGACTTCGTCGAAAAGAAAATTTTCTTCGCTGTAACTGTTTTTTTATTCCCGACGGAATAAATATGAAAAAAATTGCCAAGAACAAAATAAAATAGAGGTGTGTTGTTGAAGCCCTTTAAAAAAATGTCTGGTACAGCCTAAGGCTGTTGGATAGACTTCCGTCTTCCTCTTGAAATGCTTTCAATGTGGCCTGGGCGTTCATCCCCTCTCCCTCTGTCGGACAAATCCTATTCATTGTTTTCATGCAGCATGAAGAGTGTTCCTCACAGAAGTGAAAAGACGATTTCAAAAGTCTTGCACTTACAAGCAGACTAGTGGATATTCAGGTCTACACATGAAAGCTGAAAATTCCTGATTCCAAGGCTATGGCCCACATGAGCTCCAGAATTTGAAAAGACTTACTGGTGTATGAACCTGTTTTGGTTACTGGAAGTCGTTGGAATCAAACTCCAAGTCAAAAGCTCACGGGATAGCCTCTTAAGACGTCTAGCTACTTCGGTCTGGGCATCCGGGAAGTATCTCAGCCCTCGGACAAACTGTGATTTTGCGTGATGTATCTCTTAGTGCCCATAATGTATTTAGTTTCAAAAGAATGGATACTGAACAAAGAGTACTCTTTTCGATAACCCCTTCATCATCAGGCTCTACAGTTATATATACATTATAGTGAATGAATGAATTAGTCTTATGAACAACATTAATGTTGTTTAAATAACATCGAATCAATAATATTGATAGATTACAGCTGAAAAGCATCAACATTAAAATAAACTGAATGTCAAAAAAAATTAGGAAAGATAATATTACAAATTCATGAATTTATAGTCTCTACTAAAGGCCGGCCAGGGCAATAGTATTGGCTGGGTGGACTTGTTTCGTTTGCACGCAGAGCACTGGTTGTTTGAGGCGAATTGCAATAGCCTCTGCTGTTTGGAGCATGCGGTGATTCGATGATTTTGGCAATTTATTAGGCACCCGGTAGATGATAGAGAAAGATTCTTCCACGCTGGCTGGCTTTGTGGTCGGTTTCCACCAGATGGTCCAGTATCGAACTGTTAAGGGTTTTCACTACACCTTTACTTAGCCATAGTGGGGAGATGTTCTCGAGTGAGGACGAAAAATCAAGTTCCTAGAGCAGCAACGGCCAATATAACTCGCTCCACCACAAGCGCAGTTGAATTGGTAGATACAATTCGAAGTGGTACTAGGTACTTCATCTTTCAGTCGAGGTTGCACTATCGATCGTGTAGAGAATAATACGTATAGTTCGCCAGCATTAAAAGCTCCTTGAACTGGTTTTCTTAATTTCCTCAGTTTCAGTTTCAATAATAGTAATAATAATAATACTTTGTAGCAGCATGTAGCAAACAGATTAACAGAATTGTGTTGGAGAAGATAGAAAATAAAATCAATTAAGATAATTATAATGTTTAGAAATTAAGTAATAAAAGGAAGTGAGTATATTCACAGCTTTGTGAGTGATGGCAATCTCTGAAATAGAAAGACTTGTTACTACCGATTCCTCGTATCTTAATGACTTGAGAATGTTCTTAAGAAAACCAGCAAACTGTCTGATAACACTGGCATCAAAGACAAGAATTCAAGTGAACCATAGAGAAAACGGAGGTGATGAAGATAACCAACCGACAACAACAACATCAAGCAGCAATCACTGCTTACGGGAGGAATTTGAAAGTGGTCGCTTCCTTCACTTATCTAGGCAGAATTGTTGCAACTACAGGTGACCCCAAGGAGGAGGCAAGACAGGCTATCATCACCAGTCTGAAATCAGCTTGGAAATCTTCTGCACTCACTTAGCATCAACAACGAAATTTGGATTTTCAACACTTATGTAAAAGTTAGTTGGAAAAGAGACAGTAGTGGTCAAAACATAACATGGCTACACCGTCAGTCAATGATGAAATCCACAACAGTTAGTTTGAGCCACCAAGGAAGGTGTAGACTTCCTGACTGGTTTAGGGTCCTCGGGACGGTAAGAATCAATGGCAATAGAGACAATCGGTCACATAGCTCAAAATAGTTCTCAATGGCACAGATGTATTCACTCTTTCTGACTTATAATATCTAGTAAAACTCCATGGTTCTTCGATATTACTATTCGTTTTTCCTTCACTCACACTTCTGTTTCTTATCTATCTTTTGAACTTCCCATTACTCTCTTCTCTTCCTTTGTGTGGTATATAGAGTAAGTGTGGCAACTGGAGCTGTCTCACATCTGTGCAAAGTTCTACGTTGAAACTACTCATTCAGTCATTTCTTCTACATAAGTCAGAAAATTGGCGTGTGTGTGTGTGTGTCACGAAAAGCATTTCGAACAGCTGCTTCTGCTGGTTCCATACTTAAGATCAGATGACCGTTGAGAAAGGATTAACTCTAAAGAAACTCTAAAGACTAACCAAACCAGAACTAGTTGGTCAACAGGGGAATATTCCAAAGCAAATGCAGGTGAGTCGGACACACGCTGAGTGGACCGTTGGATGATATCGCTCGAGTGGAACCCGAATGGGGGTAACGTGGAGTGGCGCATCGAAAGGTGACATAAAGGAGACGAAAGTTTATGCGGAGTCGTGGGGTGGCCGGCTGAAGAAGACTGCAGAGAACGAACAGGATGAAATGGTGATGGCCTGTTGAAGCCCTACGTTCCACTCGGAAATTATTATTATTATTGTTTCGTTTAATTCCTGGAGGACTTCAGCCGTGCGTCTCCATTGCATTCGGTTCTCTGCTAGTGTCTTGACCTGGCTCCAAATCTGCCCACACGCTTCCATCTCCTCTTCACACGACCTCCTCCATGTCACCCTCGAACTGACGGCCAATTCACCGCTTCCCTTTCGGGTTCCACTCAAGGGCTTGTCTAGTGATGTCACTTGATGGTTTCCTCAGAGTATGGTCAATCCACCTCCATTTCTTCCTGCATATTTGTTACACAAATGATTCCTGCTGGGTTGTTTTGCTCCCAGAGATCTCTGTTGCTGATCTTGAGTATTGAGCGAAGACAGCTGTTGTTTGTTTGTTTGAGGTGCTCTTTATGACGCACTGGCCAAGTCTCTGATCCGTATAGTAGCACTGACTTCACATTGGAGTTGAAAATCCGGATCTTATTTTTGATGCTGAGTGCTGTTGACCTCCACACAGACTTGAGAGTAGTGAAAGCTTGTCTTGCTTTTCCGATTCTTGCTTTGATATCCTCGTCAGTTCCGCCTGTAGTTGAAATGATGCTTCTCAGGTAGGTAAAGGAGGTTGTTTCTTTCAGGTTCCTTCCATTTATGCTGATCGTTGTCTGTTGTTGTTGTTGCTGTTGGTGGTGTTGCCCAGGAATCTTCATCACCTCTGTTTTCTCTATGTTCACCTGGAGTCCTATCTTTGATGCTTCTTCTGCCAACTTGTTGCTTTTCACTTGCATATCTTCCAGTTTGTGGGAAATCAGACATATATCATCGGCGAAGTCCAGATCCTCGAAGTTTTTTGTGTGAGTCCATTTTATGCCTGTTTCCTCATTGCCCGCTGTTTGTCGCATTATCCAATCTACTGCAATCAGGAAAATCATTGGCGATAGTAGGCAGCCAGCTTGTCTTACTCCTGTCTTTACTTCGAAGGATTCCGTAAGTTTCCCGTTGTGGATTACTTGGGAATTAAGGGGATAGTAATAATAATAATAAATGTATAATTTATATAGGGTAATTCACAGTTATTGATTATTCCCCCATTTTTATTTTGCTCCTTTTGTTGTTTCTTCACCAAAAAAACATGTAGGATATGAAACATTAACACCAACTAGTAAAGATTCAGCTCTGGATGATCGAAGTTCCAGTTATGCAGTGGATATTCCCCCACCACCACTTCCACAAATGGAACTCAATCCACCCTATACTAAAGCTACAGCTGGCAATGAAAGCATCTTGGCGTTGGAACGTAGACAAGCTGAACTTGAAGCTCGTGCAGCTGAACTGGATCGTCGGGAGAAAGAACAACAAGCTCGCATGAATTCTATCCAGGCGACTCCAAGTAATGTTTTATTCTTATCTATATACATATATATATATATTCTTCTCATGTGTATTTTCAAGTGTTGGCTTGTAGAGATTTAATAATTTTCTGACCACATGAATTGCAGTTCTACTGAGGGTGAGGGACTACAGCTAGACAACTACCACCGACTAAGGTCTTGGGTGCATCCTTCTGAGGACCCACAAACTAGAACTAAAACAAGTGTTCAGTAGTCTCTACCTCCCAGTGGCTCTTTCTCTCTCTTTCTGATTGACGTCATTTTGGTGATATGACTAGCAGTCAATTATTATGTGTTATATTTATGGATCCTTACTGAAGATCAGATGGCTCCCCAGAAACTCTAGTAAGAATCTTTCGTCCAGGAAATATTTCGATTTGTTGATTGACCATGGAAGGTTTGAAGCCTATGTTAATCCCATTTCTGATAAATTTCTGTGCTTGTTCAAACCCTTCTTGAATAAGTCAATTAAGGGCGCACTGACATTACTTCTCCTTCTTCTTTGGGGAGTAGGTTCCAGGAGTTGATGACTCAGCGATATGGTGGTTCCTCCTTGACTTTTGAACTCTCCTGCTATGTCCTCTGAAGTGTTCTGACTACCTGGTGTGGAGGAAAAGAGAGAATAGATCAGGCCCTTAGTCATTATGTAAAATTTTAAGCATTCTAACATTGTAAATCTCCTCTCTGCCTATGCTATGATAGTGAGAAGAGATTTAAACTGTCTAGTCTTTCCTCGTATGATAAAGTAGTCATGCTGAGAATCATACGTGTTGTCTTATTTTGAACGCTTTCTAGAATGCATGAATCCCCTTAAAGGCAAGGACTAGCTGCCTGGATAGAGTTTTCCAGTCTTGACCTCACCAGAGATGTATATGAGGAGGTGAACATATCGCTGGTGGTTGTAGTAAAGGCTCTGCGAATCGCCCATACAAGGTAGCTTGATATAACGTCTTTCTTAGAGACGAGTTGGAGAGTGGGTCTTGGTGTTTCACTGATGACCAACTTACTCCTCTTTATGAACTTGTTTGGATAGTTATTATCAACCAGAGTTTGTATCAACTTTCTTCCTTCCTCATCAACTGTGTCTTCAGTGAGTATTCGTTGTATCTTTGGTATCGAATAGGGCAAAAACTGTGTGGTAATTAAGATTCTGTCCTCTACAAATAGGTTTTCTAAAAATATACCATTTTATTGATCCATCAAACCGTCGACTAAGCAATATATCTGGGAAAGATGAACAATTATCTTCCCTTTTAATTGGTGGATGATGGTGACTAGCAGTGGAATCCACGAGGATGCGCATTTCGTCCTATTTGGGACTCGTCCTCCTGGCGGATGTACCTGCATTCCACAGTGAGTCAGTGATGATGTTCCCACCACGGAGGCTCGAACCCAGTGCCTATAGTTTCAAACGCTAAAGCGTTATCCACTAGACCACTTGGGCCACGAGAGCCACCTCTTGTGCAACTGGTCATATTAATTATTTAATTGAATTTTAGATTTTTCCGTTGATTGATTAGACCGAAGTAGTGCTCGGTCTCAGGTTGACATGTCGGCTTCTTGTGCTCAAGTGGTCTAGTGGATAACGCTTTGGCTTTTGAAACTATGGGCACTGGGTTCGAGCCTCCGTGGTGGAAACATCATCACTGACTCACTGGGGAATGCAGGTACATCCGGCAAGAGGACGAGTCGCAAATAGGACGAAATGCGCATCTTGGTTGGATTCCGCTGCTAGTCACCATCCACCAATTAGATTCTAAATTACATGCCTAGATATCGTCGAATCATCTGCACAAGAAGCCGACATGTCAACCTGAGACCGAGCACTTCTGTCCAATCAATCAACGGGTTGAAAATCTAAAATTCAAGTGTTGGTTTCTAGGGATTTGATTGGTTACAGGATTTCATCATAAGCTGACGTTGGTTAGAGAACCATTGGGAAACCTGAAGTACTGGACAGCTGTTTCGTCATCCTAGTTTGGGATGCCTCATCAGTATGCACCCACTGATAGGGTTCGAACTCCTGGACCTTCTGGTTACAAGGCTATTGAGCTCACAGACCATTCATCAGACCTTGGGAACTAATCCAATTGCCCATGAATTACAACTTCTCCCAATTCATGCAGCAGGTCGGGTGTGAGGACAAATACTCGCCCAAGACATTGGCTACTGGTCGCGCTATATCGTGAATTGGCAGAAGTTAGAATTCATGAGCCATTGGATCGAGTCTTAGTGGCTTTATGGTCTACAAGCTCTCTGGCCTTGTAACCAGAAGGTTCTGTGTTCGAACCCCGCGACGTGGGTGCGTAGTGCTGAAGAGTCCCAAACTAGGCTGATGAAACAGTTGTCCAGTACTCCCTGTGGCTGGTTTTCCAATGTTTCTCTAACCAATGTCAGCTGGTCATGATGAAATCGTGTAACCAATCTAAAATTCAATGAAATAAATTGTCTTCCCTGGTCTACAGGTATGAGTGATATACTATGGGGTATTGTTTAAAGGGATTAATTATTGATTGCATTTTGGGTGTTGGCATTAGTGTACATTTGTGCCGTGTAGATTACAGAAAGGAGGAATACTTTTTTTCTTCATAAATACCCTTGATAGATAGATAGATATTCAACGAAATATCATCAATACAAAAATAAAACAAAATATTTAGCGCGAACAATTGTTTTCAATAAATTCTCCTTCTTCAGGCTCTACAATTATAAATCCATTAATTTAAGCATACAATAGCCAGTAAAGGCAAATTAGAAACATATTAGAAAGTGTATTGTGGAACAAGTATTAGTGAGATGGGATGGAACAATAGTCAGATCGTTTTTCTTTAATATGCATGGTCAATGAGAACATGGGACAAAATCAGATGAAGTAATTTAATTTAATGATGTATATATATATATATATATATATATAAATATAGTCAACAGAAATACAGGTTTTGAGAGTGAGTGTAATCTGGGTGTGTGAGAGACAATATTAAAATAAACCAATGAATGGGGCGGACTAGACATAAGTTCAAGGTTGAAAATAACGACAGTAAGAATGATTGTAAAATAATAACGATGATATGGTGTAAAATTACAAGCACTATTGGTGAATGATTGTCAAATAATAATAATAATGAATATAATGAAGTGGAATGAACAGGATTTTGTAAATACGATAGCAAGTTAGAAAAGCACTACTTAAACCTAAGGTAATAAAATCATAAGAAAGGTCATGAAATCATAAAAGTCGAAAATGAACGATTGTCAATGAAACAGAGGAATAGAAGAAGAAAAGAAAAGAAAATTGTGAAAGGAATTTATAGTGTTAATGGAGGATTTGTTGGCTTTATTGTAGGCCAAGGTAAACATAGAGGTTGAACATACTTCTTCTGTATGCAAAGAGATGGTCTTCTGGTATTAATTGCAACCGCTTCAGCTACTGATAGAAGACGCAATCGAGCTCCTCTAGATAAATTACTAGGAACGCGGTAAATAACTGAGAACGCATGGTCAAGTTTTATCGAGTGTCCAGTATCTACCAAGTGGGCTAAGACTGCACTATTTACACATTTGGTTACCCCTTTACTCAACCATACAGGTACATGTTCACGCGCGCGCATGGATAAAGCCCTCTGAGTACGGCCAATGTAACTAGCTCCACATGAGCAGTTGAATTCATAGATGCACATTGATGAGGCCATCTTTGGTAATTTATCCTTTACTTGCTGTGTGAGTACTGGTTTAGTTGAGAAGTTGAGTACCAGTTTAGCTGCAGGAAATGTTCTATCTACTGCTCTATTAAGTCGACATTTTAGAATGTCAGCTGCAATTTCCCCTTTGTAACTTAACTCAAGATACCAAGGTTTCTTTTCTACGGTATCCACCTTTACCTTGTCTGTAGATATTGACATATACGCTTTTAGGAAGCTCTGTGGATATCCATTTTCTTGTAGTGTGAGTTTCAGTTTCTGCATTTCTTGCTTAATGCATTCCTCTGAACATATACGTTTTATTCTATAGCTTAGACACTTAACTAAGTTTCTTTTGTATTGAATCGGTGCGAAGCTATGGAAATGGGTGTACTGACCCGTCCAAGTTTTCTTTCTAAGTAGTTTCATTTGCAGATATCCGTCTGTCTTCATGGTAAGGAGGACGTCTAGGAAAGTTAAACTGTTATTGTCTTCTTCTTCACATGTAAACTGAATAGTTGGGTGAACACTATTAACAGCATTAAGAAGCTCTTGTTTATTAAGATTTATATCACAAACGATAAAGGTATCATCTACGTGTCGACAATATGTAATATAATGACAACGCATATTTCTAAGGTATACAGCTGGTTTTCTTTTTTTCCTTCATATATATATATATATATACATATGTTACGTTAACAATATTCTACTATATCATAGGTAAGAAGACGGAGAATGATCGAATATGTATGTTTATATATGTGTTTGTAGGTGTGCGTGTGCGTGTGTGCGCATTAACATATACTCCACTGTACTCAATCTAATATTCGTGTTTTACACAACTGTTACATGCCTGTGTGTGCGTACGTGTATCCATGTTAGTAGTTGTGCATCAACGAGATTGACGTAGAAGAAAAGAGAGTTGCCTTGCTTTGCCTTGTTTTTTTTTATGTGCAACTAAGTTAGGGTATATATGTGTATATAAGTAGTATTCTTAAGTAGTAAGAACAGCAGTGGAATTTTTCTTATCTTCTCTTTTTTTGTCTTGTTCAAATGAATGCGATTAGTTTGTCTATCAGAGAAACAGTGTTATTCATTATAAATTATCTAAATTAATCCCAGCGTGTTAAGAGAATCAAAACAAGATCTGTTTTCTGAACGTTTCGCTGTGTAAGCTATCACAGCTTCTTCAACAGATCTATTCGGATTTTTATTAATCATCAAAATATATAGTCAGAAAAGTTTTTTTTTACATAAATTGAAGTCAGTTTATTTGAAGGTCATTTGTCGATGGACACTTTTACCAATAGAAATATGTAGAAATAGTTTCCAAAATGTCACCCCTAGATTAGAAATAGGAAGTGAAGTGGTAGAGCACGTTGACCGCTTCACTTAATTGGGAAGTACCATCAGCCCCAACGGGTTGATCTCCGACGAAATCTCAGCACGAATACAGAGGGCTCGTTTTGCATATGCCAGTTTACGCCATCTGTGGCGTAGACGTGATATCCGACTATCGACCAAAGGGCGTGTGTACTGCTCAACAGTCCGCTCCGTCCTCCTTTATGGCTGTGAGACCTGGCCATTGAGAGTGGAAGACATGAAAAGATTATCTGTGTTCGATCATAAGTGTCTGCGTTCTATCTCCCGCGTGAAGTGGTATTATAAGGTGAGCAATATTGAGGTTAGGCGTCGAGTGCTAGGTAAGGAGGGAAAATCAGTCGACGAGACTGTGAAATTACATCGACTGAGATGGTTATGACATGTGTTACGTATGCCCAGTCATCGCCTTCCTCGACGGGCAATGTTGGCTGATATAGGGTCAGGCTAGAAAAGAGCTAGCGGCGGTCAAATCAAAACATGGCTTTGTCGTCAGTCAATGAAATCCACAACAGTTAGTCTAAGCCACGTAAGAAGATGTAGACTTCCTGGTTGGGGTCCTCGGGACGGTAAAAACCAATGAAGGCTGGAAACAATTTGTGACATGGCTCAAAATCGTTCTCAGTGGATGGCGCAGATGCATCCACTCCTTGTGACTTATGATTTCCAGTGAAATTGTTTTGTTCTCTGTTATTACTTTTTCTTTGTCTCACACCTCTGTTTACTGTCTCTATTATGCATTTGTTCTACTTTCTTCTGTTGCTTTGTGTGCTACATTGAGGGAGTGTGGCGACTTGAACTGCCGCACACCGGTGCAAAGTTCTGTGTCGAAAACTGACCGACCACAAAAAGTAATTGTGTCTACAAGATAAAGTGTTCAGAATGTGATGCATGCTATATAGGCGAGAGCAGTAGACAGGTGAACGTCAGAGTGAATGAACTTAGACTATGCACGAAACGTCCACCTAGAAATGAAGTAGAATTAAAAAGTTTAGAAAAAAGATCGGCTATAGCAATGCATGCTATCTATGGACAGCGGACATAAAATTGATTTCAACAATGTCGAAATTCTTGGAAGAGGATTTCATTCACATGAAGGAAGATTAACTTCTGAAGCCTTGCACATTTTAACCACATCGAATGCAGTGAATAGGAAAGAAGGGATAGACTTATCGCCTATATGGCAAACTTTTATGAAGCAAGACAGATGAAAAAACAATAAACACTCTATGAGCCTCCATGACCTTTTAAAACATGTAGTATCTTGTTTATCACATATGATTTCGGGACTCTAAGAATCAATGGCTGGAGACACTAGGTGACATGGCTCAAAATCGTTGTCAATGGCTTACGCAGATGTATTCAGTCTCTGTAATCTTTATTGATATTCCTTTCTACTATTACTCATTCTGTTTCACTCTTCTACTTGTCAAAACTCTATTGATTCTCTTCACTCATCTTGTTGTGTACCTTTGTGTGCTCTTTGGAACGTGGCAACTCGAACTGCTGCACTTCGGTGCCAAGTTCTTTGTTGAATCCAGCCAGCCAGCCAACATATGAATTCACGTATTTTCCACATGACAAATAACATACATACACACATACAAAACTAATCTGTACAAATCAACTTTAGAAGAGTGAACATAACTACAATTTGACATTAGTCATTACAAATATATGTGATGACTGCTCACTTATTTTTATTGGTACAATTGTCTATCGACAAGTGACCTTCAAATAAAGTGACTTCAATTTATATACAAATAATTTTTTGACTATATATTTTGATGATTAATGAAAATCCGAATAAATCTGCTGAAGAAGCTGTGATGGCTTACACAGCGAAACGTTCAGAGAAATCTTGTTTTGATTTTCTTAACATGCTGGGATTAATTAAAATAATTTATAATCAATCAATCTGACTCGGCGCTCAAATTATTCCAGGAAGTTCGTAACACCTACGACCTTGAAACCTATAAATAGTTTTATTGTCTACTGAATGACGAAGTTTCGAGCACAATTTATGCATTGTTCATAATCATATCACACCTATTATCTAACCACACAACTTTGAAACTTGACTTTTTTTTCTTTAGTTTTCTTTGCTCTTTCCTATTCGTCGTCGTAGAGGCAGTGTAGAATTTTCCAGATATCTGGGACAAGATGATTCGAAATCCACTAGTGTCTGTTTAACTCCCATCTTCTTTCCCTTTTTTATGTTTCAATCTAACATTAGAAACTCCCCTTCTTGGCTTTCCAATTGAATTGCCTCCACCTTTGAGTTAATGTGTTCGAAAAAATATATGTGTATGTTTTGTGTTCTAAGTGGGGTGGGGCTGAACATTTCAATCGCTAAGTTTTCCCATCTGTCCATGAATATATCTGCCACAATCGGAGATATTGGTGACCCCATGGCAACTTCCTCAGTTTGTTTGTAGATTGTTCCACTGGAATTTAAATGCTGTGGAAGTCAGGCATAGCTGAACTTCCAGCATTATGTCCTCAAGTGGCACTTTTGTCCTAAGTTCGAGTTCTTGGTCAGAAATGAGTTTGTTTCTGACTGCCTCTGTAGTCATATTTATTGGTATACGTGTATATAAACTGAGGATGTTAAAACTAACCATTTTTTTCCTTTATTATCTAACTTTAAATTATCTAATCTGTGTTTTAGTTCATAAGAATACGTTAGCTTAGATTTTGAGTGGCTTCTAAGAGGATTGAAAAAACTTCGCCCCACTCCAAAAGTATGTTGGAGGTATGTAGGTGACACATTCATCGTACTTAAAACATTAGACATTAATAGATTTTTCGAACACATCAATTCGAAGGTGGAGGCAATTCAATTGACTTATGAATTGGAAAGTCAGGAAAAGTGGGAGAGCTTTCAATGTTAGATTGTAGCGTAAAAAGAGAAGGAAGTGGGAAGTTAAACACACTAGCGTGTTTACAGGAAACTCACTCATTCAAACCGATATTTGAATTTCGGATGATTCCCACCCTATGTCAGTAAAAATAGGATTGGTGAAATGTTTAAGTCATAGGGTAGAGAAAATTGAATAAATATTAAGGAAAATCTCAAACAGGAAGTGAGGCATATAAGAGAAGCTTTGAAACTTGATAATTACCCCGATAAATTAACCAGCAATTATGGAGGAAAATGTAAAAATAAAATTAATAATAATAGGAGTAGTGATGGAGATAATAATATTATTGTTATTGATGTCATGCATGTCAGACATGCACAAGATAGTGACAACACCAACAATGGGGAATACAAATCATCTGTAGTACTTCCATACAAAGAAGGAACCTCGGAAACCACCTTACGCAGAATTCTTAACAAGACAGGAATAAAAGTGGCTGGCATTCAAACCAACCACAAACTCAATTAGAAACAAGCTTTGTCGGTTAACGGATCAGTCCTGTGGAGCCTTTAAAACAAAACAATTTAGTTTATCTCATACCCTGACTGCAAAGATTGTCATGTCAAATAGATAGGTCAAACTAGTAGAACAGGGGCAGTCAGACTAGCTGAACATAAAATCCTAGCAAAATCTAGATTGGTTGAACGGAATGAAATAAGAAATCTAGAGAATAGTTCAGCTGTAGCATTACATGCAGTTACACACAACCATACAATAGGCTAGATGGGATAGGATGACAGTTTTAAAATCTAATGTAACAGCAGGGTTGAGGGAGAGATTGATAACTGAAGGTCTATTTATCGAGTCAACTGTAACTACGTTTAATAGGAACCATTCAACACTTGTCCACCCGGACATCTGGGGAATTCTCCACTACCCCTACGGCGCAAACAGGAAGGTATAAAGAAAACTATAATCGATATGATTATGAACAGTAACAGATTGTGTTCGAAACTTCGTCATCCAGTGTTTCACTGAGTATGTGATATATCTGTCTAATAAACAAATTAATATGGAATTACATACTACCACATTGCCCAAATTTTACACATATATTAGTAGTTGGTACTCTATACTCAGTCGAAGTAGAATTAAAGTATTCGATCTGTGGATATGTTTGTACACACGCACACACACACACATCCATTATCTTTTTGATTACAAGTTTTACGAGTGATTTTTGTAAGATATATGGTCATTTGTGAGAGTAGAAGGTGTTTGCATGCGTTCTATCGCTCGCTTAAGTTATATTTAGCGTGAGCAGAATATGGTTGGGATAGGCGTAGAAAGTGTTAGAAAAGGAAGGGAACTTAATTGGTGATCTATCGCTTCAACAACCAGTGTTAGTCGACATAGTGTGTAGAGTGTACTACTGATAAGATTTATATCAGTAGTATGTATTTAAAGAGATGTTCATGGACAGAAAAACACCAAATAACCGGG